GAGCTATAGAATATTAACTGCTGTACATATGCCATTAACATTGATAAATCATTTACTTTCTCAGGGTGACCTTATAATTATGAAACGGTGCAAAAGCCGACACTATCTTTAAAAAATTCGTAAAAAGTTTGAGGTGAAGGACATTGCTACCAAAATTTGTGTACAGAGGTACATTGTGACGAGGAATCTACCAGTGTTTATCAAAAATTCCGTTCCGGCTGCTTTCTCCAGAATCGCAAAAATCTGGGGTGACCTTATACTTATGAAACGCACTGCACGTCACCTTACCGGAAAATGTGGAGAGTATCGGATTCCCTTATGTATCTGTACGTATATGTATTATGTGATTAAAAAATGCAAGGGCATACGATTACTCCTAAATTGTCTGCACTAACTTTGTTGACGGTAGCGTCATTTTTGCACATGATTCCCTGGAGCTCCAGGAGAAACTTGTGCAGCTGCAGATGAAACCAAGCAAAATCGCACTTGGAATGAATTTGTCGCGAACGAAGTGGATGCATAACCAGTTAAGTTCTACAGTGACTGGTAAAATAAATGGCGAAGTCATCGAGGAAGTAAAAAGCTTTGAGTATCCCGGACACCAGCTGAGCTTCCCAGAAGACAACACCGGAGAGGGAAAGTGAAAGCGTCCTTGTTTCACTCGACGGTGATACCCGCGTTGTAGTACAGCGCGAAATGCTGGTCGCCTGTGAAGGCAAAGAGGGGAATTTGCTGTGATGCAAAGATCAATGGAACGCAGAATTTGCAAAGTGTCGCTTCGTGAACATATCACAAACACAGAGCAGGGAAGACGAAGTGGCCTTGTTGAGGGTGTAAAGAAAATGTACAAACGTAAACGAGAATGGGCTGGGCCGGTCATGTGGCACGGTTGAAAGACAACCAACGGACTTTCGGCTAACGAATCGGAACCCGTTGGATAGCAAAGAGGCTTAAATTGAGGTGGGCTGATCCTATGATGAATATGCTCGGCCAACAGGAAGAAAGGAAAGGATATGCGCAGGACCGGAACGGATGGCTCAAAGTCGACTTGCGTGAATGGCGAAGTTTGCGAGGACAAGTCGGACACAGGTGATAGAGGTGAGGAGGGTTATGTGCAGAACAACTTGGCACTTTCAAAGCTTTTTTTGCGCGTCGCTGCTACTTTAAGCTTCGAGTAATCAGCAATTCCATAAATGAACAAGATGAGAGTGGAAGATTTCATAATAGATGGACACAGATTAGCACCGATGTACATATCAGAAATGCACGCATGGTTTAGTTGAGGTGCGGCCGATTGACCAAAGGTGAACAGTTCAATCCCATTACTCGATAATGCCCACTCCTTCTTGCAACCCTAGAGATCAATATAGATTTTGCTAATCAGTAAGGCTGATAAACAAAGGTAACGGGGCTCCACTGAAGTACTGTAAGTAGTCGGTCTCGGATTATTTATGTACTGTGTTCAAAGTACCAAAAATACAGTGTGATACAGTAACCTAGGCGGATTATGGAATCACACATTTCTTCAATAGTTATTTCCGATTCGATAACCACTTTAACCCGAATTTCCGCTGATGACTGATAAGCTTTTGAACAACAATAAAGTACATGTGAATGCAAAGGGGCAGTGAAGCCGGATGTGCATCGATTTTCCATTTTACATTTTATCTTAGGAGGTCTGTTCCCATCTGACAGTTGGATGTATTGAGTCACCCAGTTGTTATCAGTGCCAATAAAAGGAAAGAACTGAAAATCGCTATACGGATTAGTGCCATTAACACCTTTCTTCAGCGCCAGAACAAGGCTCCCTTGATCGGGTCCTTCGATGGCAATGACTACCCTTTTGTTTCTGGTTCTAAACGTACTACAGGTACTTTTTGCTGATTATAATCAACAACTAATTACACGACCACAATAGGACGATACAAGATGGGAAAGATGTCGATAATGTGAACAATTACAATACTTATTTTATGTGAGCAGGAGGGTACTCAATTTCTTCACAGTTCATTTTCCTGAGGTTATCTCCGCAATTTTCTTTTAGTACGTGGGAGAAACGGCCTTATTCACTAGGCTCCCATAATTCCTGTCTTTGTAGTTGCTGATTGACTCAAATCTTCAAAGAAAAATCCTTCAATAATTCTGTGTGTGGTTACCAATGCTGCCGTTCTTTGAGCCTTTATTGCGCCCTATCCTGTCTCGACCAAACGTAGCAGCTTTGCGGGCTATAGATTCGTCCGGATTTGAATTTACTGGTGCCGCTATTGCTGCTGGTTGTGCCCCAGACATATTACAGAACGACGCTAGAAATTACCGAAAAATGAGCTTCCACTCTCTTCAGCGGACCACTGCTTAGCAAGTTTTTTCAGGGAGGAAGTGATACTAAGGCAAATATTCTTCCCAAAAGCGCTGTGGTCGTCACCACTTTCTCCAACTTTCAAGAGTTATAGACAAAATTGACGGGAAATTCCTATCAGATTTGTCAATCTAACATTTTGCAGATATGGCTGGTGTGTTCGGGGATGCCGATGCTTCACCTTGGAGATCCCATGACCCGCATGAAAGAAGTCAATCTTACGGTCAGTGTGACGCTTATATTAACTATTCACCAGTAACCCTAACTTTTCGCTATGTACAACTTTCCAATGTATTAGAGTAATAACTATTACAATCGTGAGTGGGTGCAATCGTTATCGGTCACAGTTTAGCTGATAACGGAATAAGTGCAAATGTTGAAAAAAAGCTGTTTTCAAGGGTTTTGCGAGTCAAGGTGGATTCGGTGGTAGAGAAGCTTACTTCAAGCAGAAACTCGATCATTTTCAAGAAAATAAGGAGTGGCCCCAAGTAAGTTAAAACTTTTAAGGAAAACGGTACCTCACTATAGCCACCTCAACAATTAGCGTTCATGAAAAAATCTAAATGTTTGGCTTGGAAATGAATTTTCCAGCGTTACTTCTACAACAATCGATATTACCGGAAAGGCGGAAATGTCGCTTTCCTGATGGTGGGAGGAACTGGAGTTCTAGATATCGGTTGGGTGAGTAGTCTCCCATTTGAAGCATTTTAGAATCATTACTTTGGGAAGCGATGGGTGGCAGCTTGCGGATGGGTCTTCTATAATTGCTTTATATTAGTTCAGTCATTATTCAACGCACTGAGAAAACGACAACAATGTCTGAAAATGAACTTAGCTTTGCTCAAGAAACCAACTGTATGAAAATGAGACCTTTGGATGTTGCTAAGACAAAATCTCATGCAGAAGCGCTGACGGTTCAAACGCTGCAGTTGAGAGAAGCTCTAGAACTTCATTCTGCCATGGCTATCCTCACAAAAACACTCATAACATGCCGCGCGAATATTCAGTATGCGACATGGCTTATAATTAGAGGCAGGTTGTAATGGAACGAGCGGTTTCACGGAAACCCTTTTCAAGCTTTGCACACATAACGAAGAATTTTTCAGGTAACTAACGAGAAAATTCCATTCGTACAGCTTGCAAAAGAGAAAGGAGCTCTGATGTTCGCTCTGGAGCATCGTTTCTATGGAAAGAGTCGTCCGACCGAGTGAGTTGAAAATTATTTCCGGAATCTCTCACAAATCCTTTCAAATGTATGTCCGCGTAGTGGTAAAGGTGACAGACAACATTTTATATTTGAAAGAACTTGTACCAACTTTGCGATCAAATATCACCTGTATCACCTGTCGTCCCATTAATCATCGACTTCTTTGAGCGGGCGGGTGCCAGAAACGTCTTCATCCGTCCCTGTCACGAGCCAGAGTGATCCAGTGAATCGTCCTCGCTCCAGGGGCACGAGGCACAGCGTTCCTTCCATTCAAAGCTTTCTTGAAAAAGTCCAACCATCTCGTTGTCGGCCGTCCTCGTTTGATGTCCCGAGGGAACCGGTAGATAATGGCCCTGGTCCAGTGATCATCGGAACTTCGAAACTTTGTGATAGAAATGAAAAGCAGGCTTGATCATCTGCCGAGTTGAAGCATTGGCAAATTGGAATGCCCTTACGGACGCAACTGTGCACAATTCAACTCAATAAACGGGGCAGCAAAACTGATACGATGCTTTTATTCTAATGTGCAGTCAAGAATGGTCGCTCACTGACCTGTTCTCAGCTTAAAGGCACCGTTTACGATAAATTTAGGGTACCCTTTTTGACGGGAATTGATAGAACTTCTCTAGAACAAAGCGATAACAACGAAAAAAGCACAAAAAAACGATGAACAAAAAGAACTACAAAGGGTCAAAAAAAGAGCTGGAAAGAGGGGTTGGACGAGCTTCACATTGAAAGAACGGCGGTTAGGGAGTGTTCGGGCCAGTGCACGAAGGCGACGCAAGGTCTGCAATAGCAGACAACACACCCAAACAGCTGATTTAGACTACAGTCTTGAACCTGGCAATTTGCCAACCAGCTTATTGATTTTTCACCAACTTCGCTCCAATGCAATTAGATTTCAATTAGTCAGCCTAGCGAGGGGCGGAGGGTGACCGTGGCTAACTCTCCGGCCCCTTATTGTGCCCCATCCAGACCGTTTTCCGACCTCATTCCTGCACAAATGGTATCAGAGGGGGCGTCGAATTCAAACCATGTGCAAATCTACGAAACCATATTTTTGTGAACAGTGCCTTTAAAGAAGCATCTAGGCACTAGGAATGGTGCTTTTCATGTGCCTAACCAAGAATTCATTGGAGATAGTCTCTCACCACAAGAGCCTTATTACATACCGCATCTCTCACCATTTGGCTGAGCCAAACAGCTGAAGCAGCACGATTGCACGTCGGACGACCATGGAATAAGAACCGGGCAATAACTGGTTTTTATTTAAAATACTGCTGAATACTACAAACTGGAATGGTTTGTGATTGATGACGAAAGCCTTCTCGTCATTGCTCGCTGTTACCAAAGCCTGATGTGATGGTAACGCGATACTCTCCAGTAGTCCAATCGTTGTCTTTTAACAATAAGAAGATCTGAAAGGGTCCGTAGTGGGAACCCATTGATCAGACAAGCAAAAATTGAACGACCACAAGAGCCCTTCTTTAGTACTCAATCAGAGCTAAAGTTCATAATTCAAGGCCCAGCGAAGTGTTCAAACCACTTCAATTTGGCTACGCTTCGCATTTATTTTAATTGTTTCTGGTGAGACAAGTAAAGCCAGCAACAATTTGTTTTTTGAGTTATGCTTCTGGAAGAAGATGAAGTTCCCAGGCACACAATCTCCAGATGATTTCCAGCTCTTTGAGCACGGGAACCAAGGACTGTAACAGAGAAGACATAGTCTAGTACTCCGGTTGCCTTCATGTACTTGTCATTCCTGTGCAGGGCTAATACCATATGCACGTTGTGGACTCTTGTCTAAAACCATTCTCGGACATGACGATTTGAAAGCACGATACCATCCAGTTGCTCGTTCTGTCTCTCGCATGCCACGCCCTCAATTATGCTTCAACTTTCTATTGCTACTTTTCTTCTTATGAGTTACTCCTCCAATTTCCATGAATACCACTGTGCACTGCTCAGAAAGGGTCCTAGAGGTGTTACCTCCGAATCAGAACAAAGTCAAAGGCTCTAGCCCATCATTTTCCCCTTTACTCCTGCAAGGCTTTCTGATTCTTGATTTATACGAGAATCAGCCGTTCACACACAAGAAGAGTTTGATCGTGGAGCATTTGTAAGGATCAAGGAAAGGAAATTGTACACATACCGAGGCTGCACTACTGCTGTATCTGTTACCTCAATTCTGAGGTTTCAGAGATCTGTCCGTGAAGAATCTCCAATATTTGAATAGTCGTCAGGCAATTGAGGATATCGCCACTTTTATCCAAACAATGAACAATAAGTTCAAATTGAACAATCCAAAATGGATCGTGTTCGGTGGATCGTATGCTGGTCAGTATTATATCAAGATCCTATTCGTGAAAGTTTTTAATCTCACGTTGATTCAGGATCTCTAGCCCTATGGGCTCGACAGAAGTATCCAAAAATGACTGTTGGAGCAGTTGCCAGCTCGCCGCTTATGAAGCCGAGGTTTGACTTTTGGGGTGCGTGCTCCGTATTTCCACGCAAAGGTTTTGATCCGCAGAAAATGTAGAGAGCCATCATTATTATTTTTTGTTTTTCAGTTCCATATTCTTTATTGAGACCTTAGCGAGTGAAATGGTGCCCAGAACTGATTCCTGTTAGACTTGCCAGTCAGAAGAGCAAAATCCGTGAAGTTTTCTCAGAGATTACATTCAGCCCCCCATTCATGAGGAAACTCTTTTTGTTAACTCTGGTTTCCTAAAGAAGGAAACGACGTCGAAACCGTTGTTGAAGGTGGCCTACGTCACACAGTTACATTGGAAAGGCTTTGAGTTTTCTTCGGACCCCTGGGTTTGACAATGAGTTCGAGAAGTAGGACTGAGCGTTCATGATTGCACCTACATCCTAGCATCTAGAATGTGGCCAAAAGCGATCAAACTTTGACATGAACAGGCTTACGGCAATGAGAAACTATTAAAGGCTCCTCGAAGAACATCTGCAACATACAGTACTTGAGTTCTGAACAGGCCATCTTTCCTTGTTTGCCACAAGTTCTTCGAAATCATACTAATCATCAACGTTTTTTTCTAGCTGAGGATCCCATTCCCTAAAGCTTCCTTGAGAAACATTTCCGTGGCTCACCGTCTGAGTCCAATTGGGATTGAAGCAGCTTCTTCTATGGCTCCATTTGAAATTAGGCTTAAGCGGAATTCGATGATGTCGCCGATCAGAGACCGATCGTGTAAGATTATCGGCTCAGCATCTTGTTCAGACCGAAATTCTCCTTTAAGAACAGAAGGGCTGTTCTTCGAGATACCCAACTCTTTGGCAACGGCGCAACCATTGCAGTTTTCGCGACATTACTCCTTTTCAATTTCATAACTCAAACTACCCATTGCTGCTTCCGCCGGCTCAAGTTCCTTTCGACCCCCGCTGTCGGAGGAATGAGACATCAAAAATCCTTTCAAGATATCGTCATCTCAAGGAGTTTTTGTTGAAACGGGGGAAAAAGTGTTTCCGAAAAACTTGGGCAGCATCAAAATATCACAACATCTGCTCTTTTTACTGAAACAAACAGAATCAGTTCCTGAGTACCATTGATCCAAGTTAGTGGAAAGGAAGAATCAACCAATCTTCCTAATAGAAAATTAAAGTCTCCTGTTCCAGAAGCGTCACTATTAGCTGATGAAGTGTACCGCAAATTCGATTTAAAATGCGCCCTGAACATTAGAATTGGATTCACGCAGATGGCCGATATGCTTAACAATCAGCAAGGGCGATTCCAGCTCTCCCAACTGTTCAAGTAAGTAACTAATAGGATTAACAGGAAACAGGAAATTACCTTCAGATTTACACAAACCAGAGCAGCCGCCAAGTTAGGATCATTGGGATCAATTGGGATGAAATCTCGACCCTTTCAATTTTTATTTTTGAATTTTACCAGAAAACGAGTAGAGGGACCATTCTAAACTGTTCGAGGATTTTGTTAGCTAGCTTGACCAGATTGTGATCAGATTAATAGGAAAGTTCGAACGACTATGCGGATAGGCAAAAAACAACCTGAAAAATTCCGAACCAGCAGCGTAATTTTACATATTTACCCGTACAATACAGTCCCTACGTTTTTAAAGAATAATCCTTAATAGTTAGTAAATGTAAAGAGCGGTTACACTTAAATTTATTATAGTCACCATTCTCACTAGCTACCTAGAGGGTGAGTGTGAGCGCTAAAAAGTGAATCAGCAAGTAATTAGTGTACTAAGGTCCACTAAGCTCAATCACTAATTTGCATAGCAGCTCACTTATAGGATGCGTG